TTAATTTCATTAGAGTGCTCCCCCCAAAACAATGTCTGATCAAAATAGTGGCTTCAAAGGGAATCTGCTGAGCCAGTTTAATTTGAGGAAGAGAGGTCAGCTCAGAATGTTATGATGACTGTTTTTTGGCAGTCCAAAGGGGTAATCTTGATAGATTTTGTTAAAGGACATAGGATGATCATGGGAGCTTATTAGGAAACTGCTTTAAGAAAAATGAAAACTGCACTGATGTGAAAAAGGCCAAGAACATTGCACCAAGGAATTTTTTTCCAACACAATAATGCTTCTGCTCATTCTTCAAAAGTACCAAGGATTGTACTGTGCAAATTTCATTGCAATATCTTGCCGTATAATCCTGATTTTGCCCCTTCAGACGTCTTTCATTCCCCAAATTTAAAAAAAAACACTGAATATGAACACGATTGGTGTACCTAACAGATACACAAACTGCCATTTTGATGTGGTGTTAATTGAAGAGCACAGAGTTCTATTGGGAAAGGTTACAAAGATGGAAATACTTCATTCACAAGTGTACAAACCTAGATGGAGGCTATATCAAGAAACTGTAGCTTTACAGTTTGATATTTTTCTTAAATAAAGGTTCCTATGATTTTGTAGCAGTACTTTGGACTTACCATTGTATTTATATGGTATTAACACACAAAGTCACTGTACCAAAAGGAAATGGTTAATGTTGAATCATTTCTACAGGTAGCATATGATCAAAAGCCAATGATCGTGAAGGAGGAAGTCCAAGGTACACTGAAGGAATTGGCAAAGAACAAGGTACCAGGAATTGATGGAATAAAAATGGAAATCCTTCAAGAAAGTGAGGTGGCACAGTAGGCACTCACCGATCTCTGCCAAGAAATTTGGAAGACAACTATCTGGCTGATTGATTGGAAAAGATCCGTATTTGTGCCCATTCTTGTCAGGGGCCACCCCCGACAAACTTATTAGGGGGCTCACGAAGGGAGATGTGGAGTTGGCAAAGAAATCACACGGAGTCAATGTTTTGTGCTAAATTCTGATGGTGATGATGATGATGATGATTTTACTTAATTTTTTCAGCTCCTTATATACCGTTACAATACACTATGATCTCATAACGATCAATTTCTTTGAAGCATTACACAATTATCTTGTTAAAATACCTTAATCTTTCTGACGTCCTAAAATGTCAAGTTAACCTTAAAACATTATTCTAAATCTTTACTCCTATTTCTACCTTCACCTATTATTTTCTATAGATTCATTAATCACAACATGTACCTAAACATTATTTGCTATGGTAACTGACAACACAGTTGTTTCTCAAGATTGAGTAAACAAGAAAAACAAGAAGCACTTAAAGTTTTGTAATTAAGAAGAAACGGAACAACTTCCTTATACAACAACTTGTCTACAAAAAACATCAAGTTAAATTTCTACCTATGATCTATTACTATTTCCTAAGCCCTTAATTGCATTTTAGCTAATTTTCTAGAGGTCTTAATGTCCCGGACCGAAACTACACAGAATGTTGAAATGCAATCTTAAACTTGAATGGCAAAACTTTAGCTGGTTTTTCCTAGTGGTGAAACTTATTGTTAGTGTGAAAAGCATTCTTTAGGACTACGCATGATTGAATATGGTATAATGGTGCCTAAAAACAAGTTTCAAATCTCTAATATAATTCCTACTAAGATTCTACTGAAAACTTTTAGTATAAAATCAAGAAAATTAAAAATAAGCTGATTAAAACAAAGAGACAGAAACTGCAGAGCCCCCACATGAGATTACTCCTGGTGCCTTGCCTTCCAAGGGGAGACCCATTGTGGCCTTGCTTAACAATGAGCCCTTCATGTTTAAGGTCCTCCGCATGGCCTCTGCCACATTCCAAAGAGAGGTGACCCAACAGAATGTGGAAATCATCGGACAATCTCTTTTGATATGCCATGCGAGTAAAGTTTTACTAAAGGTAATACCAAAACAGCTAGAAGCATACATTGACAGAGAACTTCCAGAGGTTCAAGCCAGATTCAGAAGAAGCTATGGAATGAAGGATATCATTGCTGATTTCCGATGATTCTTGGCTGAAAGCAGAGATTATCAGAAAGATGTTTACCTGTGCTTTATTGACTATGCAAAGGCTTTCGATTGTGTGGATTATGACAAGCTATGGACAACATTGCGAAGTATGAGTTTTCCAGAACACTTAATTGTGCTCATGAGGAATCTGTACCTGGACCAAGAGGCAGTTGTTCGAACAGAACATGAGAACACTGAATGTTTTAAAATTAAGAAAGGTGTGTGAGAAGGTTATATTCTTTCACCATACTTATGCAACCTGTATGCTGAGCAAATAATAAGAGAAGTTGGCTTATATAAATAAAAATGTGGCATCAGGATTGGAGGAAGACTCATTAACAACCTGCGATATGCAGATGATACAACCTTGCTTGCTGAAAGTTAAGAGAACTTAAAACATTTACTGATGAAGATCAAAGAGCACAACCTTCGGTATGGATGACATCTCAATGTCAAGAAAACAAAAATCCTCACCACTGGACCAATAAACAACATTCTTATCAATGGAGAAAAGATTGAAGTTTTCAAGGACTTCATTCTTCTTGGATCAACTATCAACACACACAGAAGCAGCAGTTATGAAATCAAGCGATATATTGCATTAGGCAAATCTGCTGCACTAGACCGTTTTTTAAAGTGTTAAAGAACAAAGATGTCAGCTTGAGGACTAAGGTTGCCTGACCCAAGCCATGGTATTTTAAATAACCTCATAAGCTGAACAGTGAATAAGGAAGACCGTAGAAGAACTGATGCTTTTGTGTTATTGTTTTGGAGGAGAATATTGAAAGTGCCAAGGGCTACCAAAAGAATCAATAGATCTGTTTTGGAAGAAGTGCAGCCAGAGTACTCCTTGGAGGCCAAGGTGGCCAAACTTCACCTCTCATACTTCGGACATATTGTCAGGAGGGAGCAGTCACTGGAGAAGGATATCATGTTTGGTACGGTGGAGGGGCAGAGAAAAAGAGGAAGACCCCCAACAAGATGGAATGGCCCAGTGGCAGCATCAATGGACTCAAGCATGGCAACAGTAGTGAGGTTGGCCCAGGATTGGGCAGTGTTTCGTTCTGCTGTGCATAAGGTCACTATGAGTTGGTACCGACTCGATGGTACCTAACAACAACAACAGCAACACCTATGTCTAATTGTCAAATAACAAATTAATTTTTCCAATTTTATTTGGGCTTCTTCCCCAGGCCAAAGGAAAATAACTCCATAAAAATGATTTTAACTGTCAAGATGAAGTAACAAAAACAAGATTTACCCTCTTACCTGAGACAACCAAAAAAGAATAGGTAAAATAAATAAAAACAATGGTTTTCAAGAATTTGGACAAAAATCCAAAAAGGACTGCCAACTTGTACCTTGATAAAATTTCTGGGCCCCAGCACAGGTAGGAATAACTCAGACAAAGAGCCAGGTGAACTCCATGAGTTGATGAGGAGTTGAGTTACTGGGAGACAAAGCAGTTAAACAAAAGAAGCTAGAGTTCAAAAATATTAGAGAGGAAAGAACTACACAGGCAGAGCTCTAGAGAGATTGGGATAGGATATCCATCAAGTATTCAGCAAAGAACCATTCAGTACATGCATTTAGGAAAACTATCCAAACCCAAAGAACTACCAGAAAGAAATTAGAAGAAACAGTTCCCAGCAGTCTCACAGGGTTTATAGGTTTTTGTTGTTTTGTTTGTTTGTTTGTTTTGATAGGGTATAAAAGGACCCTAGTGGCGCATGGACTTCCAGAAGAAGAAACAATCAGTCTTGGAAGAAGTACAATCAAAATGTTTCTCAGAAGCGAGATGGTGAGACTTCACCTTATGTACTTTAGACATATTATCAGGAGGGACTAGTCCCTAGAGAAGTTCATCATGCCTGGTAAAGTTGTTGTTGTTTAGTGCCATGGAGTCAGTTCCAACTCATTGTGAACCTACATGGGGTTCCTGAGGAGCAGCTGGTGAGTTTAAATCACTGACCTTGTGTTTAGCAGTTCAGTACTTATCCTACAGCACCATACCAGGACTCCAAAGGGTCAGAAAAAAAGAGTAAGACATCCAAAGAGAAAGACTGACACAGTGGCTACAATGAGCTCAAATAGAGCAACAATTATGAGAACGGTACAAGACCAGACAGTGTTTTGTTTTATAGTATATATGGTACTAGGAGTCAGAACCAACTGTACAGCACCTAACAACAACAACAAGAGGCATACAAAGGTGAGAGTACACTTTTCCTAGCAGAATAAGTTAACTATTATCTTTCATTCCCATTATGAAAAGAAGATACTTTGCCTTCCATAGATAAAATTAACTAAAGATTTCCCACTCTAAACCAAATTTGGATATCCTTCTTGATTAAACTATTTTATGCCTTTTTTAGTTAACCTTTTTAGCTCAAAAAAGTTTTATTTGGGTTTTTAAAAAATATATTGCTAATATTCAGAAAGGATTTAGGCAATTTGCTAAATTAACAAACAAATCTCTAAACCTTTCTGAAACAGAAGAAATTTGGACATGTTGTCAAGAGGGACAAGTCACTGGAGAGGGATATCATGTTTGGTAAGATGGAGGGTCAGAGAAAAAGAGGAAGACCCCCAGCGAGACAGATTGGCAAAGTGGCAGCATCAATGGACTCAAGCGTGGCAACAATTGTGAGGTTAGCCCAGGACCAGGCAGTGTTACGTTTTGTTGTGCACAGGGTCACTATGAGTTAGTACCAACTCGATGGCACCTAACAACAAAACCCCATCCCTCACCCATCCAAAAAAAGACTTGATACTTCTTTTAAATAATTTTGGTTTTAAAAAAAGGCAAAGAATAAGAACGTTCTTGCTATCAATAAATATTAAAGTTTTGACCCTAGCATATATACTTGTACATACATGAATGAGTGAGTTTATACAGCAACTGAAAAAAGTCAAGCATCTTCACTCACCTATTTTGTTCCTCCAGTTTAGCCAGGAGTTCTATGTCGTCTGGACTCAACTGTGATGGAGAAGATGGGGACAGGGCTGGTGTTGATAGTGTGGTAGATGAGGATGTAGTGTGCAGGGAAGTAGATGGACTTGCCACCTGACTGGCCATCTGACTGACTGTATGCGATACTGTGTTCTTCACCCATGTGAGAGTAGAACTCAGCTTTTCTGCAACCTTGTCTGTCGCCACCTAAGGATAGAAATTAAAATTACACATATTTTAGTTGTACACACTTATTACCAAGGCCTTGATAATCCTATTCAGTTTAATTTATTAACCAAAATCAGAATATTCTCTGCCTCCAAGTTAAAAGATAAAACCCTGTTTTTAGCAGCAATTACATAACATGCAAGTTTCAGAACCTGTTTATTTCAGTTCTACATTATGAACAAACTATAATAGTGTCTTCCAATTAACAGGCTGAAACTCCTCAGAGGGTAATAAAAACAACTTAATCAGTGTCACTATTTTTTAATGAAACAGAACTGCAAATATCACTATAAGAATTAATTATAAATTTTTGTCACATAAAATGTACTACATACATGCAATATAAGCAGATATACTGAGTTATGATGTAAATTGTATTATTTATTGGGGTTGTCCTAGAACTACAGAGAACTAATATAAGAATGGTCTTCAAGAAGTTCATGGAAAATGCATATTATGAAAAAACTATGCATGGATTTCTATTTGTATGCATCAAAACAAATTTGTATTAACTTGTTATAACACATTTAAACAGGATCTAATTTGAGACATTAAGAAGGAAAAGACATCAAGAGACCCTATCAGAGCAACACGTATTCTGCTAAAATGGGAGAACCACCACCATATTTATGGTAAAATTTAGGTGGAAGAATGTGAAATCACTGATGCTTTACAAAGCTATGGGGACAATGCTCTAAAGAAATAAGCAATTTACTAATGACTAACTCATTTTAAGAAGGAATAAGATAATGTTGAAGATGAAGTTACAGACAGCAACAGAATGTCCACATCAATTTCTAAGGAAACAATCTTGTTCATGCCTTAATTGAAGAGGAATGATGATTAACAGCAGAAACAGTAGCCAACACTATAGACATATCAACTGGCTCAGCTTACACAACTCTGACTCAAACATTAAAGTTGAGCAAGCTTTCTGCTTGATGGGTACCAAAACTGCCGTACCCAGATCAGCTGCAGATAAGAGCAGAGCTGTCAATAGAAATCTTAAACAAGTGGGACCCTGAAGTATTGTTTGACGAATTGTAACAGAAGATGAAACACTGCTTTACCAGTAAGATCAATCAAAGTAATGGCTACCAAGGTACTTAGTGGTCCAGTCAAAGCAAAAGCAAACCGGTCAAGAGCAAAGGTCATGGTACCAATTTATATCCTAAAATCACACTAAAATATTTTAAAACAGGAAACTTAAAGTGTAAAATTTTATTAAAATGCTATGCTTTACTAATACCAATCATTAAATTTAAATATACTTACAACTTTCATTAATGCTTTACATTTCTAGTATATAAAAGTCCCCTACTAAATTACTGCAAAGGCAAAGGGCACCTATTGTTTGTATCATACCCCTTCGGCACAGTGTTGCAATAGGCTTCCATTTAATGGGTCTGAGATAACCAAGAGAACAATTCTGACATCCTTTCAACCTTGCTGAAAAGTGATTCAGCAATGTTTAAAAACAACCCATTTTCAGTGTTTTAAACTCTTAAATATAGCTGGCATGCTTGTCATATTTTAATAAAGTTTAATACTTATGGGTCTAGAAATCCTAAAGGACTGAGTTATTTTTCATATATCATTATGTCCTGTTTTTCTGTTAACTCTGTTTTTCCAAACAGCCACCCTGCAGTCTCTAAGCCTCTTCTCCTCATCCTGTGGTGAACTGAGGGTCATGAAGACATAATAAATCTGTCAATACAACTATGTCACAAAGTTCCTGTCAACCTCATACAGCTACTACACATATCTTTTTTAAAGTGAACATACTTCGAAAGGTTAAAAACATCATTTAAAAGCCTTAGTTAGTGTAACCACCATAAAGAAACAAGCTGTACTTAGCTGTTGAGTGGGACACTAATTCGCTCCGTAAACTTACACCTAAATCACAATAAGATGTTATATTGAAAATAAAAGCCTTATGAATCAGACACAAAAGGCCACATATTATATGATTCTATTTATCCAAAAATGTCCAGAATAGGCCAATCTATAGGGACAAGTAGATTAGTGGTTGCTAAGGAATAAAGGGGGGAGCATGGTGGCTCTGTAGGATAAGCACTGGGCTGCTAAGCACTAGGTAGGTAGTTCAAACTCATCATTTGCTCTTCAGGAGAAAGATGAGACTTTCTGCGCCTGTAAAGAAATACAGATTCAGAAACCCTACACAGGGTTCACTATGAATCAGAAGCAACTGGATGGTGCTTAATAATAACAACAACAACAGGACATAGGAAGGGGGATGAGGAGTGGCTGCTAATGGGCACAGGGTTTCTTTTTTAATTGATACATTGCAGTTATAGTGTTAGAGAAAAATACGAAAAGTACCATGGACTTAACTACAAATCTGTGTTGGAAAAAGTACAACCAGAATGGTCCTTAGAAGCCAGGATGCCAAGACTTCATCTCTCATACTTCAGACATATTATCAGAAGCAACAAGTTCCTAAAGAAGGGCATCATGCTTCGTAAAGTGGACAGTCAGTAAGGAAAAAACATGAAGACCCCTCAATCGAGATGGATTGACACAGTGGCAGCAGCAATGGGCTCAAGCATAACAACAATTGTGAGGATGGTGCAGGACTGGGCAGTATTTCATTCCGTTATACACAGGGTCGCTATGAGTTGGAACCAACTTGACAGCAACTAACAACAACTCAGAAAGAGCAATTTACTGGGTGCTGAATATATGATGTTATTGTTGTTGTTACGTGCCATCGAGTTGGTTCCCACCCATAGCGATCCTGTATAAGGTTTCTGAGGAGTGGCTGGTAAGTTTGAACCACCGACCTTAAGGTTCAAACCAACTTTGCAGTCCAGCACATTTACCCACAGTGCCACACCAAGACTGAATATATAGCCATAAACAAAATAGGTTCCTTCCTCTAGATCTAGTTAAGAAGTCCAGCAAATAATTAAAAACTAATGAAAGGGAGGACATGTGACATGGCAGCATCATATCAGAATTTCTTGTGACTTATGACTGCTTTTCAAGAAGGCAACATTTGTTAAGATCTAGAAGATGAGCAGGAAAAAAGCCATCTGTGAAAGGAGCCAGGCAAAAAGGGAACAACACGTACAAAGACACTGAGGAATTAAAAAATTTGATGAGCTAGAAAGGCTTTGATCAGCAGAAATATAAGCCAACCCACAAATGCAAGCCATGTAAGCTAAATTTTCTACTAGCTAGATTGCAAAAAAGATTTATAAAAACAAGTAAAATTATGTTTTATTCAATATATCTAAAATATTTTAACAGGTAATAAATGTTCAACCCTGCAGTTAACAGGCTAGTGCATATCCTACAGTGCCCTAGAGAATAATACAATACACCAAATACAGTGATGACTTCAAACTCAAGCTACACTCCTACTGCCAAGGTAGTAGGTCACATTTAATAGTTTAGAAGGTTACTATGAGTACTCTTCAGAAGAAAGAGGGTGGGTCTTTAAAATGCTAACAATGACGTACAAGAATCAGATCACCTTAGTCTCAGGGTTTTAACAGTTAACATTTTGTTTTCTCTAAATTACTTAATACCACTAGAACACTATCAATTTCACACAAGAAATAACTTTTTAAGCATGGTGGGGGGGGGCTGTGTGCCGTGGAGTCGGTTGTGACTCATAGCGACCCTGTACAGGGTTTCCAAGGCTGTAAATCTTTATGGAAGCTGAAAGCCTCATCTTTCTCCTGCGGAACAGATGGTAGTTTCGAACTGCTGACCTTGCGGTTCACAGCCCAATTTGTAACCATTACGCTACCAGAGCTCCAAAGAGTCTGTAGGAAAATGGAATTAAAAGACAATGGAATTTTTCCACAAACTTTTTGAAACCACCCTCATATCACATGTTAACAGGCTGGGTAAGATCCTCCGTGATGGTGTTGCTGTTGTTGCTAAGCGCTGTTTTTGTTTCTGACTCATAGCAACCCCGTATAGGGTTTCTAAGGAGTGGCTGATGGGTTTGAACTGCCGACCTTGTGGTTCAAACTGACCTTGTGGTCGAGTGCTTATTCTACAGCGCCACACCAAAGACTTTCTAAGAGTATGGTCCTTAGAGGGCACAAACAGTTTGCACTTGACCATTAATCATTGTTCAAATCTGCCCAGCGGAACAATGGAAAAAAGGTAAAATGATCTGCTTCCACAAAAAGTATAGCCAATAAAGCCCTATGGAGCAGTTCTACTCTGTAACGCATGGAGTTGCCATGAGTCATAACAGACTCAACTGTAACAAGTTTGGTTAGGTTATAGTATGGTTTGAATATAAGGTTAGGCATGAGGGGTAATATTGAGCAAGGCAATATGATTGCTGCCTTGTCTTCATGCAGTATGCAGCAATGAAGTATGAGGAGACAAATATGGAATTTTTTGTCTTCTCACACTTCATTGTGGAAAGTGCTAATGAACTGTAAGTAGGATAATTGTAGCTGTTGTTGCTAGGTGTCGGCGAATTGGTTCTGACTCACAGCAGAGCAAAACACTGCCCAGTCCTGCAGCATCCTCACAAACATTGTTATGCTCGAGTCCAATGCTGCTACAACTTTGCCAATCCACCTCGTTGTGTGTGTGTGTTTGGGGGGGGGGGGGGGGGGGG